TCGGCGCCCAGGCCTCGTCCCGGCCCCGGGGAGCGCGCACCTCGCTCCCGCGACGCCGCCGTTCCTCCCCGGAGCTGTCGCTGCGGTCGCCTCCGGGCCCTTTCCAGTCAAGGGGGTGGGAAAGGCGAGGAAAGCCTCCCGAGGAAGCCACTCACCGTCCCGCGCCCAGATCGGCCCGCCGCGGGCGACACACGTGACCCGGCAGAAGAGAAACAGAAACGGAGAGCACGTTTCTGCGGTGGGTGAGGGGCCCAGGGTGGGGGACGGCGCCTGCACATGGGATCCCAGCTGGGCAAGACAGACCGCAGGGAAACAGCCAGAAGCCATCGCAGTGACAGTGAGGTCGTAAACTGGCAGCGATACTTTTCCACCCTTTTCGTATTTTATAGTTTTTTTTTTTTTTTTTAAACGACAGTGGCCCTGCCTGATTTTGCATCGAACAAAAACTACTGTAATGTAAACCACCTACTGGAATAGTTTGTAATAGGCAGGGTTACCTGTATTCCAAATTTACTTTTTTTTTAGTTGCCAGAGTGAGAGAGTAAACCCCCAGTGGAACAAGGTCATTCCAAAATCACTTCTCCATTTCTCCATCCCCAGGATTGTCCCCAGGAGTGGATTTCTGGATTTGGACCTGGGGGGCCACGTGGGATCTGGCTCCTTTTGCACAGGACTGACCTGTTGTGCTAGCTGGCCCTCAGATTTATTTCTTCACTAGAGTTGTATATCCAAGTAAATTAAGTAGTATTTTAAAATGGGGTTCTCAAAAAGAATAAAAGCAGCAGAGGTAATTTTTAAAAATGTGGGTGTTGGTGATTGTCGTCAAGGTCCCTGGCAGCCGAAGCAGAGATTTCCCGGCAGCACAGAATAGGGTGGGGTATACCGATTTCCACGTCCACTTTATCTCACACTGGACTCTAAATGAAACTTCTGGTTTTATCTTTGCTTAAATTGTCAAAAGGGGGTCCAGCAGTTAGCGTAATGGCTATGTCACTGGACTCCCACGTAGTTGACCGCGGTTCGTGTCCCGGACCCGGTGGCTTAAAACTCACACTGGGCGCGTGTGCGTGCATGCCCAAGATCCCGAGAGGAGAACAGAGGAGAAGGGATTGCGGCGTGACCATCCCCCCGGGGGGTGATTTCTCGCTTTCTGTCTCTCTCTGTCTGTCTCTGTCTGTCTGGTGAGCGCACACGCCTATAGCAAAAAAAAAAAAAACTCTTAAAAAAATTGTCAAAAGGGACAATCTATAGAAATTTTGAACAAAAGATCTGTAGGGGAGGGGAGGCACCCTTTCCGGGGTCTTGGCATGCCCAGCCCCTCACCCCTTCCTGGCCAGCCAGGATTGTGGGCATGCTCGGGTCACCCGGCCTCTGACCAGTCTTCCCTACTGCCCGGCCTGCACCCGTTTCTGCTCCTCTCCTGAGGGGAGCCAGGTCATCACAAACACACTCCCTGCTGCGGGGGCGCAGGGCTCCAGGCTGGCATTGTCTGCCACCTACACAGCTGGCATGGTGGCCAAGCTGCTGGGACACTGTCTGAGTCCTCTCTGTGGACGAATTCTCAACCGAGGGTGATGCCTGTGAGTGGGCTGCTGGGTGGAGGTTGGGAGGCTCGATTTTACGGGAAACTGCCAGTTTCCCAAAGTGGCTGTACCATTTTGCTGTCCCACCAGTGACCACAGTTCCACATCCTCCTGCTGGCTCTTCCCCAGGCCACCGCCCCGGCCAACCCACCACCTCTCCCTCCATAGCCTGACGCACCCCTCCCATCTGCCTGGGTGCGTGTGTAAAGGGTTGGTCCACGCCGTTCTGCCCCCAACACAGTAGTCTTCGCGTGGCCAGCACAGTCCCGTGAGGCCGGCCATGTCCCTGCCCCTCCTGCTGCCCCAGAGGCCTTTGTGCCTCATGGCCACCCCCACTCCCGCACCGGCACCTTCAATTTGACTGCTCCTCTGGCTGCAGAGTGAGCGCCACAGGAACCGGCCCTCATTGTCCTTGGGCCCTAGCCCCAGTGCCTGGCCCTCGGGGTGCTCAGCAGTGGGGATGAGTGTGTGAACGGGAGCCCTGCGTGGGGTGGCGCTGAGTCCTGTGTGGTGACAGGATACTGGGAGGGCCAGCGACGGAGCCAGCCCCAGAGCGGAGACACATGGAAGACCAGAGGGCAGTAAGCACCAGACATGAGAAGGGGTAAGAGCATCCCATGACCGTGTTCCATGTTCCTGGGGAACATGGACCGCAGAGGCCCCAGTACCAAAGAGCTGGGGCAGCAGTGTGGGGGTGAGGGGTGAGCGAGGGTGTCAGGGCTGAAGGCAGGGAGCCTGGGGAGCCTGGACCAGCAGTTGGCACTTTATTCTAAGCGCTGGGTGGAGGGGAGCTGACCTCGGTATGCAGGGCTCTCGGGGGGCTCTAGCCATTCTTGCAGTCACCCCAATACTTCACTCCCAATTTTCTGCTTCAGTTGTGTCTAAGCTTCACAGTTTGCCAGCAGTGTTTGTGAAATAAGAGGGTGATGCTTCTTACAGAGACGAACCTGGAGGTCAGAACAGGGTCAGCGCTTGCTCGAGACTGGGAGGGACCGGAACTGGCCACTTACAAAATGGCACAGGGGTGAGGGCCAGCAGGCGGTGTGGTGGTTAAGGTGCTGGGTTCCCATATGGTTGACCAGACCCGGGACCCACACTGGGCACATGTGTGTGCGTGCCCCAAATCCCCAGAGGAGAATGGAGAAGAAGGGATAGTGGTGTGGCCACCTCCCCGGGGGTGATTTCTCACTTTCTCTTGTCTCTCTGGTGAGTACACAAGCCCTTTAGCAAAAATTCTCTTTTTTTAAAATAAAGAGCATGGAGGAAACTTGGGGAGGTATATGGTGTGTATGTGTATTTTTTGAGAGGTTTTTGCTGTAGAGCACGTGCACTTGCCAGAAAGACAGAGACATAAAAAGCAAGAAATCACCCCCCAAGGGGGGATGGCCACGCCGTAATCCCTTCCCCTCCATTCTCCTCTCGGGATCTTGGGCACACACGCACATGCGCACGGTGGGAGTTTAAGTCACTGGGTCCAGGACTCAAACCAGGGTCGACGCGGGGGGGGTCCGCCGTGTTAGCCATTACACCAACTGCTGGTCCCTATATCTAATTTTTTTAAAGTGTGTTTTATTGGGACCAGCCAGGCGGATGGTGGTTAAGATGGTGGGATCCCACATGGCCCACTGAGTGGTTTGAGTCTCAGATCCGGTGGCTTGAAAGACACACCGGCATGTGTGCACGCATGCCCCAGATCCCGAGAGAATGCAGAAGGGATTGCAGTGTGGCCATTCTCCCTGGGGAATGACTTTTCACTCCTGTCTCCCTCTGGTGAATACAGGTACCTATAGCAAAAAATAAAAAGAAAGAAAGAGAAAGAAAGAAAGAAAGAAAGAAAGAAAGAAAGAAAGAAAGAAAGAA